GGGGGGGGGGGGAGGCTGCACCCCTGTCACTTTCCTTGACAGGTTCGCGTCACATGGTTTGTTGTCAGAGTGAGTCCTCAAGAATCAGTTCATTGAGCAAGTATTTACGAAGTGTTGTGTGTGTGCAGAACACCATGTTGAACATATAAAGATGCAAAAACAGGGGAAAAAATAACACAGAAGATAGAGCTCCTGCCATAAGGACATTTACTACAATAATCTTCCCTGCAGCTCGGTTTCGGATCCATGACACCGACATGAGATTCACGATTTTAAAAATTCCTTTTACTTCAGTGAGTTATTTCAAACTTTATGCCTGCCCCTTTCTTGGTGAATAAAGTTCAACAGCCACTGATTACCAAGGGGTGTATATATACATTGTCCTAGACAGGCCGGAACATGGAGAGACAGACAGACAGGCAGAGCCACAGCCCTGGGCAGAGATAAGACTCTGAGTAAGGGGCTGTCTTCAGGACACAAAGGAACCGAGGACCCAGATAATCACCTTTTGAGTCAGCAGCAGTTGGTGGTAGGAAATGTTCAAGAGCTTCTTCCAAGTGTCTGCCCCTTTTCCCCTCTGCAGGGGGACTCAGGCGGCCCCTTGGTCTGCAGGGGCAACTTCTGCGGCCTGGTCTCTGGAGGCCGTAAATGCGGTGACGCCAAGAAACCTGGAGTCTACATACTCTTGACCAAGAAACTCCGCACTTGGATCAAAAGCAAGCTTCCCCGTGCCCGGCCGGCGTGGCTCAGTGGTTGAGCGTTGACCCGTGAACCAGGAGGTCGCGGATTGATTCCCGGTCGGGGCACATGCCGGGCTTGGGGCTCAGTCCCCAGCAGGGGGCCTGCAGGAGGCGGCCGACCAGTGATTGTCTCTCATCATTGATGTTTCTGTCTCTCTCTCCCTCTCCCTCCCTAAGTCAATAAAACAATAAAAACTTAAAAAAGAAAAAAAAAAAAGGGCAAGCTTCCCCCACCTCCTGCAAAACAAGGCTACAAGTGATTTTTTTGGATCTGCCAGTTGCTTGTTGTTTTGTTTGTTTGTTTTGTTTTCCCATAAAATGTTCCACAGGCCAACCTCATCCTCGGATGCCGCTGGGCGCCGTAATGTGGGGCAGGGGCAGGGTCCACTCCCTCCCTCTTAGGACTGACTTTGTTATGGAGTCAAGTTCTTTGCCACACAGCTCACTGATGGATCTCTACTATGCTGATTTCATTCTGGATAAAATGTAGACGACTCTCTGTCTCTTATGGAAATAAGTACAGCAAATGCTCTGTCCCCCGCTTCACCCACACTCCCCAAAAAGGCAACAGGTGATTAGACAAAACTGTCACGGCGCCACCTGCAGCCCGGTTTAGGTTGTGCTTTCTGCCGGGCCATCCTGAGCTGCATTTTCAGAATAGGGAAGAACACATGCAAATACCCCAGGGCAAGTTTGGAAGGAATTATCAAAGTTTATACAGATATTCAGGACAGTACTCATTACTCACTCACACATACTTTGTTCCAAAAAGGATTTAAAACAATGTACAAAAGTATCTGCAATAAAACAAAATATGAAATTAAAAATAATTTTTCCTCAAAATACTAAAAACAGAAGCACCATATGATCCAGCATTTCCACATCTGGGTATTTATCTGAAGAAAATGAAGACACTAACTCAGCAAGATACAGGCACCCCTATGTCCATTACAATGTTATTTACAATAGCCAAGATATGGAAACGACTTATGTGTCATGGGTGGATTAATACATAAAGAATTGCAATGAACACACACACACACACACACACACACCCCGGAATATTATTCGGGCATTCAAAAGAATGGAATTTTGCAACTCACAACCTGAATGGACCTTGAGGGCATTATGCTAAGTGAGATAAATCAGGCAGAGAAAGATAAATATCAAATGATCTCTCTTATACGTGGAATCTTAAAAAAAAAAAGCAAGCTCATAGATACAGAGAACAGATTGGTGATTGGCAGAGGTGGTGGGTGAAGGGGGTCAAAAGTTAAAAAAAATGTATAATAAATTTTTAAAATACTAATTTGGTGAAGAAATTGAGACACGTCCCTACCAGCTGCATCGGGATCGCCCGAGGGGATGTCTGTGTGCAGATCACCCTGACTCTGCCCAGAGATGCAGACTGACAAGGCCTGAGGCGGGTGTGACTTTCTCAGGGAGGCGTCTCATCCAAGGAGACTGGCTCCCAGTCCCCCAGGGAGGCCCCTCCTCTTTGGCTGAGCTCTCAGTTTGGGACAGGGACATGCGCCAAGACTCAGACCCCACCCAAAGCCTAGTTTCCAAGATTACAAGACACACCTGAAAAGCCACTCGTAGGTGGCCCCCGGGTTCGTCCCGGTGCACGGTGCGGGCACCCGGCTCCGAGTCCTGAATGACTCAGCCCCGCTTTTACGTGGCCACCCGCTGGCTTCCTGTTTATAGCCCCCGACTCCTGTAGTGCTCTGCTGAGGCATGCCCGTCAGCCCTGGGTGACAACCCCTCCGCGTCACCCCCACCCCCACCGCCAGCGGATCCCGCTCATTTTCAGGCCTTAACCATGGGGCCCGTGTAACAGCCTGTGAGGGCCAGCACATGGGGTTTGCACTGAAGCTTGTCCTGGGAACTCAGGAGTAAGTAGAGTTAAATTGCCCTCTGAGAGCTGACACCTAAATTCCATACATATTGGGTCAGAGCAGAGAGACACAAAATCATGCAGAAGAGACAGTGAGGTCCCCGAGCCCAAGATTGGCTGCATCTGCTTGCAAACGGCTTTGAGGGTCCAGGTCAGAAGTGGAGGAGCTCAGCTGGCGATGCTGGGAAAGGGGGCATCCCAGGCAACGGGCCAAGAACAGGCCTCTGGTCCCTCGGCAAGCCCGTCCTTGCTTTGGCCTGAGTTCACGGAGCACTCAGCTGCTCATCTGATCTTTTGCTAACTCCACGCTCCCCGAGCATTATTTCTTGTTGCAGATTAATAAACATTTCCCTTTTCTACATCTATTATGTTTATACCTCTAAGTTGGGGCAATTTGAATTTCTCTTTGAGACTCAAATTCACTTTTGGTGTGCTGAAAAAAATCAAGTTTCCATCCCTGCATTAATGAAGGTCGAACCCTGAACCTTGGTCAGTTTATCAACACATTGAATATTAACTATCCCATGAGACTCTCCAACGGATTGACAGCCTGCCTTTCCCTTAGAGAGGACTGCTGGCGTCCCTGCTCTGGCCACGGGCACGCAATGCGCTCATGTTGGGAGCATCCATCCATCCATCCATCCATCCATCCATCCATCCATCCATCCATATTCCCATGAGTACTCTGACTGTCCAATAACTCCAAGAAGTGTTGAGATTTCTTCCTGGGTTCGATCTGTTCACTCAGTATCAGAGACTACAGTTTGCTACTCAGCAGCTATCACCTCTCTTCCCCTACAAGCAAAACTCAACTGTATTTGGAGCCACAAATGTACACAGCTAAACGATGGTGTTTCCAGACTCCCTCCCTGCTAATAGTGGTCAAGGGGGTGTAAGTGGAAATCATTGGTTGGGAGCTTCCAGGGAGTTCCTTTAAAGAGAACTGATTCAGCCCAGACGGTGTGGCTCAGTGGAAGAGCATCGACCTATGAACCAGGAGATCCCCAGTCAGGGCAGGTACCTGGGTTGCAGGCTCCATCCCCAGCAGGGGGCATGTGGGAGGCAGCCGATCAATGACTCTCATCATCGATGTTTCTATCTCTCCCTCTCCCTTCCTCTCCCTGAAAATCAATAAAAATATATTAAAAGGAAAAAAAAAAAAAGAGAAAGAGAACTGGCTTGGCAGGAAGGAGTGGCCATTCAGCCTCCTGCTTTCTGCTGCCTGGATTGCCGATGCGACGGCTAGAACTCCAGCAACCACACTGGAGCCATGAGGCAGACAGGAACAGGAGCCAAGTGTTAGTGCAAGTGAAGCAGAAAGAAGGACCCTCTCTGCCAATCCTGTGCTCTCCAGAAAACTCCTTTACATAAAAGAAAATACTCAGTTATATGTTTAATCCACTATTATTTGGAGTTTCTTGTTTTTTACATCCCCACCCAGTCCTAATAGATAAATGTAAAATTTCTGTCCCTGATTTATGTTCCAAACAATGACATGCATATAAGCATAAATCTTCATGTCCTTCTGCCCTAATCCTCCAAAATCCCAAATGGCCTTAGCTTTCTACCTTACCCTAGATAAACAAGATAAACAAGAATTGACTCAGAAAAGGAACTTCTATATGTAGTCATCGATAAATCATTCCCCCTCACTGCCCCGATCTGCGGTTTAACACGGAGAAAACGCCCTGGCTTGCTTAAGGAGATATTTTTACCTTCACCGCACACGGCTGCATGGCAAGTATCCCTGTTCCTGTTATAAAAACAATCCACGGCGCTCTGTCGCCTGTAACACCAGTTTCTCCTTCTGTGTATTTTGTAAGGAGATCTTGTAGAACTGTTTTTTGTAAAGTTCCATGAAAATAATGTTTTCTGGCATTTGAGGTTATTATTTGTTTTATTATTTCACAATCATTTGAAATAATATAGCATTTTTTCCATCCAAACTACAAAAGCAACTCCATTGGGAGACAGTTGGATATAGTAATACCCTGGATATTAGCAATGTTGCTGAAAGCAAAGCAGGCCCACCCTGCCAGCCAACAGTGCAAAGAGTGGCTGTGTTAACAACCAATCCAGGTAGACCCCTGAATCCTCATTGCTGAGCATTTGGAAAGAGTCCCTCATTTATTCAGTCAGTCCGTAAGTCAGTCAGTCAATCCACAAACACTTATTAAGCACCGGGCGCTGTGCTGGTCACTGGAGATACCAAGAAGAAAAGACAAGATTCCTGCCCTTGCAGGAACTCATAGTCTAGGGAGCAAACTTGGACATGCGAATAAACAAATATGCTGTGCTCCCCAAATTGTTATAAAGGTGGCATGTATCAGTCATAAAGGAGACATATACAGAACAACTATACTGTGATCCTCAAAATTGTTACCATGGCAGCATTAACATGGGAACACGAAGCTTGTTCGAGTGTGAGTCGCTCAGAATTCCTGCAGGACAATCTGCTCGACCACCCTGGGCCTATGCGCGTGAAGCTTGATTCACTTGTCAATGGTCAACAATTTCCCTGGGTAAAGAAAGGCCTCGATCACCAGGTGTGCACTGGCCACCTCTGACCAGATGGAAGGGGGCAACGGCAACTCCCGCAGTACAGCCGCGTCCACGCAGGCGCAGGCTCTCCCTCCTCGGAAGGGCTCGGCTCCCCCCACGACCTCACTCCACCCCAGGGACGCCCAAGACTGGCAACTGGGCGGCTGGTCTTCCTCAGGAGGAAACGGTCCATTTCTCCCAGCAAGAGATGATCAGCTCGTTCTATGAATCAGGAATGATCCTTCATCTGCCCTTTTAGAAGTTTTGGGGAGCAGGGAACAGAAGAATTTGCCAACCCCAATTGGCACGGGAATTCTAGGAAATCCTCCCCCCAAAATTTGTCTTCCCGGAAGCTCTTGTTCTCTTAATCATCAAAAAACAAAGCAACTCAACAAAACAACGCTAGAACGGAAGTGGGCACCCCCCGCTTTGCCAAGCCCCGGATAGCACACCCCGAGGTGTGACCCAACCCCCCCCGCACAGGCTACAGGTGCGCTGGGCTCTATTCACACAAGGCCTCCGTCCTCTTTCCCACTGTTCTCACCTTTAC